CGTCAGATCTGTTGTCGAAGTTGTCGTCATTCCTGCACCGCTTCCAAGTGCCCGGAATGTACAGAAAACACATCTGGAAACTGCTTCTCGATGTGATGGACGCCAATGAAGACTCCGATCCCTTTGTGTCCACTCAACAGACACTTCACTGCAAAGACATTCGCAGAGCTCTGCAACTCATGCTCTATATCGACGACAACACCACTCCTTCCAAGCAATTGGTTCTCATGTTTTTCCTCGAGTTCTCCGAATTGGACATCAATATTGATAAACAGGTCTTTTATTTTATTCTTCGGTTCAATTGTTTTGTATTTTTTAATGCAATTATATATTTGTTTTGCGAAATAGTTTCAGACAAATGAAGTCAAAGATCTTATGGTTATTAGCGATGTATTGGTTAAGGAATTTATTGACGACAAGAATAAATTGGATGACAGTATAGACGAGATGTATTGGTTGTTCAGAAACTTGATCTCAAGCGTGAGATTAAACTTTTTTGCTCTCATCGATTGTGTAAGTGTTGAACACATTTATCTGATTGATTGTCGCTTAAGAAACCAATTGTAAGCATAAATTGCATTTGTATGTGAAGTACGAGAAGTTTGTGAATGGTTTGGCTCAGGAGGATAAGAGTCTTCACCACCATTTAGTCAAAACTGGTATAATTAGAGTACAACCCAATAGTACAGCCATTAATGGCGCGAAACGAGATTACAAGAAGTACAACATTTCCAACTATAGACCAATAATTACATGGTTTGTCCGCTTCTACGCCGGAATCATTGACCATCACTGTCTCATCAGGTAATCATTGATGACATGTTTCATACCATAATGTAATTAACTATTTGTTTGAATGAAGAATATTTGATAGAGTAGTGGGCGCTCTAATACACGGCAGCCGACCCTTCGCTGTGTTGGGTTCGGTCGGAAAAGCGATTTTATCTCACTTTAGAACTGATTTATTAGATTTGAATACTTATGAAGACATTGCAAAGCGGTTACTCTCAGTGAGTGGTTTTCATTTTAATTAATGTCAATTTATTAAATTAAACAAATATTGGTTACATTTACAGCCCTTAACACTGGAACAGTCAGAACAGGTCATCACTAAAGCTCTGTCGCCTTAACAATGAGTGATAACTACTGAAGACAAACACTACTAATTATTTTTTATATTTAATTTAATTGCAAAACTAGTCATTTAATCTATGAATCAGTTTTTACAGACTTTGAGACAATTTTGAAATCATTTTTTATATATTTTATACTAAATTCAAATAAAAAGAAATTGAACTAAAGTTTATGAAAATTTATTATTATTTGAATTCTGTGGTCCATTCTGTGGTCCCGCGTATATACCGGCGAACAGTATTAGACCCGTCTGTTTGTCCATCAAGAAGAACAGGAATGGATGGTCGGCCTCGAAATAGGCGCCTCCCGTCACACCAACCCTCTCGACGTTAGTGGCGCTGACGGCCGCCCCAACGCTTCCCTGTTCATCGATCTTCAGTATAGCCTTATGGAGCAGTTCGTCAACATTGAGTGGTCCGGGATTTCTGGCGAACATTGAACTCAGATCCGCCGCATCCGAGAACAGACTCTTGAGTCCGAACTGATTCTTCAATACTTGTGTCACTTTAGGCATGGAATCGATGGAGAACTTAGGGATCCTAACGTTGACGCCTCCATTGCCCACTTTGCGCATCGATGCGATCAGATTTGTCAGAGACGTTGAATTCAATGATCGCAATAAACCAAACAAACCGTTACTTTCGTTGGGAAGCAGTAGAAAAAGTCCCAATCGTTGCGAACGATACGGCAGTTCAATGATTGAGGTCTGGAGGTTCTGGTTGTAAGCGTAGGCCACAGGTATTTGATTGACCATCATTGGGACGCGAGTTGTCTGACCATTGGTCAGTTGAAACCAGGCGTTGGGCTCAGTGTCCGCGGCGTCGAACTTGTAATGCCAGTCACCCTTATATTTGATTGCATTGATAGCCATAAGTGTTGTGATGGGAGAGGGAGGAGAGGTGAGGAAGTTAGAGATGAGTCCATGTGTTTGCTTCTCAATCCAATCATTGATGGTTTGGAGCGCTTGTTGCGAGTCTTTGGCAAAATTGATTGGTTTGAGAACTGAATTCTGATAGTGAGCCAAAGCCAATGCATAGGTGGGTGCGATGGACACGTCCTCCTGAATAAATATCTGGTTAGCGATTGACAGGGATTTGCCGACATTGGTGTCGTCGAGTAGCTGTTTGACGGCCTGACCGAACATCTCGTGTGTGTTAGAGAATGTGGTATTGGATTCATTGGTGGGAATGTGGAGGACGTGAGCGATCTCTTGCTTGGTGTGAGAGCGAGAGCCTAAGTGTAGAGCCATTAGAACCGATTGGATGCTGAAGGGAGAGAACACCAGTGACTCCATGAGCCGAGTGTTGGTGTTATAGCTCTGTGTCATAACGAAAGAGCCCAACAGGTCTAACGTGAACTGCATGTGTCCGGAACCGATCCATCCCTTCGGTTGGCTATTGTTGCGATTGTACGCCAATTGAGTGGATTTAGTGTTCAAATTGAATGCAAAACAACCGATTCGTCCAAATATGAGGAAAACCAAAACCAAAGGCCAAACACTTTGATTACTCGCCATAAATACACAATTCGCGGAAAATCTTCTAAAAATGTAGAAAAAAGTTAATTTTCGCACATTTTTCGGATAAATCTCTCCTTAATTGAGAGCAAAAACTAAATAACAGTCCAATTATAGCATTAATAAAAAAATATTTTACAAATGTTTGCATGAATTAAAGTTACTGAACAACACATCCGATGTGTGAGCCTAACAGTGGATCAACACTTGGATCCGTTCATTGGTTGGTCGAGAGTTCAGGTCATCGACATGTCGTCGTTGTATCAAAAGTAAAACCAGTAGTAAAGACAACAACCTTATAGTCAGTCCTTACAGTTAGCTTTGCTTTTATATAAGATCTCAGGAGAGAAAGCACTCCTCAGATGAAAGAGAGAGTTAAGTTACTCAATATTTATAACCGTTTGTTCACGTATTTGAACACAATTATAAATTTATCATTTTATTCATACAAATTTATTTCTTTCATTAATTTAATCTATTTATAAAATAAAATAATTACAATTATACTATAGTCTTATAAGTTATAACATAGTGTAATCTTGTCATATCTACTATGATGTAAATTTAACATAAGATTAATTATTGATCTTTATTTATGTTAATTAAAAAATATATTAATATTGGATTTTATGTAAATTTTGCCATGAATTTAACGAATGTATTTTTGTATCAATTATTGTAACAATTATTTATTTATTTATAACACAACTTGATAAAATTAGATTCATGATTTTTACTAGTTATACGTTAATACCCGTGTCCTATAAATTGGAAAGTCATAAATAACTTAAATTGTTTATAAGTTTACAAATGCTTTCGCTTTTCAAATGTATATAAACAAAGGGATCGGAGTCTTCATTGGCGTCCATCACATCGAGAAGCAGTTTCCAGATGTGTTTTCTGTACATTCCGGGCACTTGGAAGCGGTGCAGGAATGACGACAACTTCGACAACAGATCTGACGGTCGTTCGGCCAGAAGTATGTCCAAAGACTTCTTCTCCTCGACTCCTCTGAAGCCAACCTTTTCGTAGTAAAAGTACCGAAAGTTGCGGTCGTCTGACATCTCCACCGATATATCCTCTGCTTTCTCTTTGATTATCACTTGATTTGTTTTGTGGCCTTTGATTGCATTCAATGATTCAAAACAATTAATTGAGTATTCATTACATAATTGACGGCTAAATGTAATATAATTTGCAAACAAATCACTGGTTTTGCGTCCAAATCACAGATCAATTTCAATGCTAATAATCACAACATTTACACAACAATAGACGCAAAACACGCTTTGCGCATGACTTCAATGCACAACACATCCAAATTGGATGATCCAATCCGTCCACTCATTCAAACACATCTATTAATTTCATGCCATTAATGGTCTCATTGTCTTCATTACAACTGACCACTTGTGCCCTATCGGTCGCATACCCTATAAGATCGCAAATTATGGTTAAAATCCATTCAATACAATACCTGTATGTCTTTTAGCCGTTTATGTCTGCATTAGAAATAGTTATCTAACTTTTTAGGTACTTAATATTCAATTATTTGAATTGTTTTCAAATACTATTGATTAAATAATATTGATGCCATTATCATAATGATGTGTATAGCATATTTCACAATATTGAAAATTAGATACTAAATGAATAAAAATAGGGAGTATTTAATTGAAGGCCAAATTCAATGGTTACCAAAATCTATAATAAAAATTAATTTATCTCTTTTTAATTCAGTCGGCGTTATAAATAATTTTATGATTGTTTAAAATAATATTACATAAATGTACCTTATTAGTTTTCAAAATATATGATTGGATACCATATTCATTGATTTATTAGATAGAGTCTATCTGATAGACATTAATTAATATAAATAATGCTAACTTATACTAAACATTGTTTAACTAACGTAAACGCATCTTAAAATTATACCAGAATTGTATATAATTTGCAATATTGTAAACAACGTAAAGATATAAAATGCGATAAACAGTAAAATGATAGCAATAATAATATGATAATTATTTGCAACAAAATAATTAGTTTTTATAAAATTAAAATCTCTTTCAAAAGTTTGAGAATTGAATTCTTGATTCCCAAGAGATGTGAGGAATTGAGTGAAATCTAGTGGACATCAAATATAATCAATTCATATGATTCAAAATATGCATCATCATAACTTTTAATCACATCATCAATAATGCAATTACTTTATAATTTTAAAATAAAAAATAGATCTTTTAATTAATTACAAAAATTAAATAAATTAAAAAAGTATTAATAAATGAGAAATAAAAGTGTCAAACATATGGTGCGGACGTAATTGTTGTACACAATAGTGTTGTGTTGTACTGAAGACATCCCTTTCCTGTTTAGCCATTTTGCACGTGAAGTCACTATTGGCTTAAATCAGGTATTAATTCACTGATCACTTCATTAACCACCGACTGATCCAACTCTTTGCCGGTCAGAGAATCCGACAAAATGGTTGTCCAACCGCTATATAACCCGCAAATCGTGAAGAAGAGGACCAAACGGTTCCGAAGACATCAATGCGATCGATACCGAAAACTGAAGGTAAATATTTAGTTGTCTTTGGATTAAAGGCTTTTGTTTGACGTGTTTTCTTGTGGTCTTCCTCTTCAGCCCAATTGGCGAAAACCTAAGGGTATTGACAATCGAGTTCGGCGTCGCTTCAAGGGTCAGATCCTTATGCCGAACATCGGTTACGGATCGGCCAAACAGACCCGTCATATGCTGCCCAACGGCTTCCGCAAAGTTGTGGTCCGCAACGTAAAGGTATGTCCGGATCTACTGATGCCCTCACTCTTGTGTCTAACGCTGTGATCGTTACGTGTGTTT